GATTTGTAAGCTGTACATTTACAGTAATAGCCCCATCTTACGATCACACTTTGTCGTCCCGGAACAACCGTTTCGTTTTTGATGACATTTACACTAAACCGGAACGCCCTTGCGTCTGCACGAAACCCGTACCGGGTATGGCTTCTGCTCACATACAAAAACAGCGATTTCGTCGTGATTTCAGTATCGGAGCGAAGCGGCACCGTTTCCATCTCGAAAGTGGGACGTCACTTAATATTGGAGAGGTTCGACGCCAGTCTTTGTCAGCAGACCTGCACCGTTCTAAACCTCTTATTTCAGTGGTCCACTTTAATCTGCACTTCCACTGTTTTCAGGTATAGGGGCATTGTTATGTGACAATCCCTATTGTTTTCCCAGCTAATAAAAACAATCTTTCAAATAGGTGCGGTATCGCCCGTCTTTGTACCCATTCCACAAGCGATCTATGACAATGCGTCCTTCTCACCTGAGAAATTGAAAAGTTGAGAACTTCTTTGAAATACGACGGCAAACAAGTAAGAAAGGTGTAAAAACCCCAGTTGTTGCAGACATTTGCGACAATTATCCCCCACACGGCTGGCGAAGTGAAGATTGCAAACCACGGGGTGTCATATTTCTGAAAAAATTAGCAATGTAGTTAGTGGGTCACATATTCCAAAACCTGGAAAAACCCCTGCCACTCCTCCACCCTATCCCCACCTCGCAAATTCCATTCAACCAAATTCCTCTGTTTAAATTTCTGGCAACTTCCAGTATCAACTAGACCAAATTTCCGAAAATTTCTGAAAGAAAAGGACAACCACGCGAGGTGTACCCAGCTTTTCAAATTTTCTTCCCGGAAGTTTTGTTTCCATTCATACCATTTCGGTTGAATGGTTCGCCTTTTGGAAATTCAACAATTCAGTTCCTCGTGCCGTCTGGGAACTTTCGAGGGAAAGTTCCGTTCAATTTACCAAATGGGGAATACTGGGAGTGACGGGGGGCACACGGGAAGCCTATTTGAACGTTTGGAGCTAGTATGCGTGAAAGGCGTTTGAAGTGGAGGGATTTGGGTAACACGCGGGGGAGGAGAGCAATAAAGGCACGCGAGTCCCTTAATCTCAGTCCTCAAACCCTTCCACACAGGATAGCCACTTTCAGTCGAATAAAGCCACTACGACTTCCTTTCTTGCTGAGAAACAAAGGAAGCCGAATAACTTGTGAACAAAATGATAGGGCTGCGATGATACACCGATACATCGGTGAAGTACGATATTTCTTTTCTTTACATCAATATCTGAACAAGATTTCCCGATATTAGAATACAATAAAATATGCTACATCAACAAGTTTGTGAAATCACTGTCAAATATTCCTCACAGAAACTCTGCATTTTAGCCCTAAAAGGGGACTTTAATAATGGAAACAAATGAAAATGCAAGCCATCCCTGAGGAGAAAAAAAATGGGAATAAAGACGCCCAAGTCCCTTCCCCTGAAATACTTGCCACCACGCTGACCTGGAAACAGGATACCACTCTCAGACACGAGTAGTGGCGTCTTCATTTGTTGTCAAGAAACAAGGGTAACTGGCCAACTTGTGAAAAAAATGATTAATAATTGTAATAGGAATGAGTACGAGTGATAAACAAAATCGGAAACCGCTGGAGTCCGATTTGTTTAATCACGAGTATGATCACAGACCGAATTGGATGACACAACGTTCTCCTACCAAATGAATTGATCATAACTGTACTAAATTTGCGAAATTTTAGGCTTTCTTTTAAATCAAAACAGAAGAATTTCTGATAGCTTCTTTTGCTAGCAGTCAATCTCGACCCAGAGCTCTTCTGTGCATGACTTACGTGCGGAGTCAAAAAGCCATTCAAGTGCGCACGCGCAATGGCGAGTACTGTCCTACTACACTTTTCTATTAGTGCTGAATTTTGTTATAGTTATGTTTAGCGACAAAAGGGTGCTACTAAATAAAGATAGCATAATTTCCGTACTCTTCTTCCTTTGTCCTGTCCTGCTCCTATAGTAGCATGAATATATGCTCTCTCTTTGATGGATATTCTTGGATGATTAGCTGGTCTGTTGTACGTAAACATCATCCAGATGAAAGACCATAAAATGCCAACACCACCTAAATCAAACATTTAATTTAAAGAACACCAATCTGTCAGGTGTTACCATTCACATGAAACCCCTTTGACAGAACCTTTCTCAAGAATTACTTATTTTCTAGTTATCTACAAAAGGATATTGGAATTTTTGTTGTGAAAATTTTATCACCATTAGGAGTAAAAGGAATAAGTACATGGTCAAGAAGAAATTCATTTACCTATGGTCTACAAGCGAGTTTCATAGTACTTTAACTATCACTTTCGAGGTATTCCTAAAAAGTATCGTCGTAATGGAGGAAGTCCCCATACTCAATGTACGCCTTCATCAAAAGTATCTTCCGAAAACGGAGGTGTCAGGGCGTAGATGCCAATTGCTCGTCAAGTAAACGGTTTCAAAAGCCCCACTCACTGCAATCGGTGTCACCTTCTTTAGTTTTGACCATCCATACCTTCCATAGTTTATTTGCTACGTGTTTGAATGTCCCTTTACTGCTTTACTTAATGTCAACATGAGAATTGCTTTTTTCTTCGGTTACAAACCTGCTTCATGCTGAGTTTGGTACATTCTACAATTTTATATGGAAAATTGCCAATTTCAAACACTTTGGTAACGTCCATTAACGAGTTGTTTTCTTGTTTATATTACGCTCTATTTGGTGGCCATTCCCAGCTCTTCATAGCGGAATTCGGTTCAACCGCTTTGCACTAACTATATATCAGTTATGTCTGGGTCTCCACTGGAGATGTCTCTAAAAATAGAAATATCATCATTGACAATTAGGTATACCCAGGAGGGAGGGCTCCTTATTCACTGTATTGCAGGGGAAATACTTACCAAAGACATAAAATACAGATGGCCATCCTCCCAAGATGTCAGATGCACAGAGAACTCCTGCTAATGGCATGCCAAGAATAGTGCCAAGTTCTTTCCCTTTGTGATACGAAAGGCAGAAAAATAAACAGTTATTCTTGCACTGAACTTGTGTACATCTAACCTGGAGGTGCATCTATATCTTATTAGGGGGCTTAAGTAAAGGCGTTTAAGTAAGCCCCTTTCTCTTCCAATTTTGTATTGCTAAGGGTCTATAGTCTCAAGGCGATTCGATCAAAAAATTTGGGCAAAAAAACTACTCAAGAATGGATCCACTTCTGGTTGACGTGTGCGTCGTCCAAAAACGTCTTTGCTTAACCTCACTAATTTTGACCGTAAAACGTATGAGCAACCCTAATTTCTGGCGAACGTTGCTTGGGAGATTTTACTGTTTTGACCGCAGTGAATAAGGAGGGTTGTGTTCGAATCCAAATACATGCTGAATGGGAGACTGTATTATTATGAGAACTCTGATTCTCGGATTTGAATTCACGAACTCCCGAACCCGAGCTCAGCAAACCAGCGTTCTTCCAACCGAGTGGTGGTTAACGTACTTACTTTCATAAGAAAAAGTGATCAGTTTGCTCCTTTCCAGGGGAGGGGCCCAAAAGCTCCACATGGCATGCATAGCTGGAAACGTTACACCCTGCAGGGGACATGACATTACCTGAATTATTTACAACAGGCCTTTCAGGACATCATCGCGCAGAATGAGTGGACATCATTTGATATTCATTACCGCTTGTAAGCACGCGCTGCATAAGCCATTTAAAGTGATATACCAGGGAACGAAAGAATAAACAATAGCTCGAATGGCTTTTTTTTTTCTTCTTTACTCTGCTCTAACAAGTTGATATGCAAGGCGGTATTTACTACAAAGGAAATACCGCACAGACTTCGACCAATGAAAGTGATTCAGATCACCCTTCACCTGTAATATTACAGACTGACCAAAGTTTCCAACTCGACTGTAGGTGAAAAATGCCATGAGCAGAATAGCGACCTCTTTGTGACCTTTGCTGACCTGACCAAGGCCTTCGATACGCTAAGCAGAGACGGCTTGTGGAAGACAAAGGAGAAGTTTGGCTGTCCCAGCAAATTCATAACGACCGTACGACAGTTTCACGAAGGCGTGATGGTTAAAGTTCTGGACATGACGGAGACGACTCAGAGTACTTTCCAGTAACGAACGGCGTAAAACAAGGCTGTGTTCTCGCTCCGACGCTCTTCAGTATATTATTCTCAGTCATGGTGACTGATGCCTTCCATGACTGCCAAGACGGAATACAGGTCAGATACAGGATTGACGACGGGCTGGTTCAACCTCAGGTGCTTGAAGGCTGCTACAAAGGAGGAGACTGTCATCAGAGACGTCTTGTTTCCTGATGACTAGCTGTGCCCTCAGCGCCAACACAGAGTAGATAATGCAGCATGGAATGAACTGCTCATCTCAAGGTTGTGACAACTTCGGCCTGACCAAAAAGACTGAAGTCATGTATCAGCCTGCACCTGGAAAGCCTTACCAAGAACCACACATTACGGTTAAGGGGCAGAACTTACAGGCAGTTGACAACTTCACCTACCGGGGTAGTACACTCTCAAAAGTGGTTCATATCGATACTGAAGTCAACAACAGGATTGCTAAGGCCAGCGTCGCCTTCGGAAGACTCCGTGAGAATGTCTGGGAACGGATAGCCACCGGCCTCTCTACTAAGCTGAAAGTTTACCATGCCGTGGTACTCACCACTCTTCTCTACTCATGTGCGACCTGGACTGTGTACAGCAGACACGTACACGCCAACCAGCTCAATCATATCCACCTGAGCTGCCTCCGCAGACTTCTCCACATTAGATGGCAGGACAAAAATCCTGACACGGAGGTCATAGAAAGGTCGGGCATCCCCAGCGTTGACACCCTCCTACAGAGAGCCCAGGTTAGACGGGCAGGCCATGTCCCCAGAATACCTGGTTGCCGACTACCAAAGCAGGTATTGTAGGGAGAACTCTGCCAAGGCAAGTGGTCTTTTAGGGCAGAAGAAACGTTTCAAAGACATGCATCAAAGACGGCCACGAAGTTTATCTTCAACATGGTTATCTTCGACTTTCGAACAACAACAAATACAACGGCCGAGAACAATAGCCATTCTGCGCGATGTTTTAATTCAAGTGACTTTATTTGTACAGACTAAATTATACTGATGTGAACAGCACTGCTTTAAGTATAAACAAGACTGGAGGGGTTAAAGGTACATGTAAGAAAGCAAACCCCTATTACAGAGGATTAGCTGGGAATGATAACTAACAGAAATTCAGAATCATTTTTACGGCCAACGGCAGACTTCAATTTGCACCATGAACGTGACCAAATTCAATCTCTTGTAAGCCACAGCAATAGGTTTCATTTTAGGTTCATCCATATGACTTATTTTCAACAGTTTTTCTTTGCTGATATTCCTAATTTGATACTCGAATTGTCAACCTGAATCTGACGTTTGCCGTTAGCTGTACACATGATTCGTGGAATCACCCGTGTGTTCTTTCTGTAGTTTGAGATTCGGTTACTTACTTTACCTTGGGTATTCCCAAGAGAGGATTTTGAATGGTTGGGCGAATTGTTATTGAAAAGCCTTTTTTCATCGAACCTGTTCATGAAAAATCTATTTCCCACTCTTAATATGGTCTCTATCATGGAGAAAAGGCTACTTTTAAGGGCTGGCAGCTGAGTATTGAGCATGTAAACAATGAAGCTATTTTAAAGTTTACATTCTTGAGGTAGGTAAAAAACTTCTGCCATAAATCCACATACACATGCATCTGCTTTATTTGAACTAATAACAGGGATTATTTCGGATTGCCTTCAGTTAGAATAACCTTTTACTTTTCATCATAATTAGTAGAGGCGACTGGTTATGAAAGCCGGCAAGTTGGAAACAACTCAACAGTGCTGTAGCTTATACTGGACTCTCCCTGACCATGCACAATCCTTTGTTTTTTGTTCACAAATTTCGGCTGAATAAATTAAGGCAATGTTTCTCTTGGCCTTTAAGTTCAAAATAATAGGAATGCTAGAAAATGCTGTGCACGGTTAGGTCCAAAAAAGCTAACAAAATCTTACATCAAAGGAGTCTAACGGGTTTCATAACCATTCTACTTTAATAACTGTGTTTTCATTTGACCTTTTCTTTGCCTTTATTGGGTTTTACAGGATTTATAGAGCCTGTGTAGCAGGCGTTAAAATAAGAAGGCGATAGGGGAATTTGGATACACGAGAACGCCAGGGCCTCTAAGAGGTGGGTGTTTTTCCTCCACACGTGCCCCTCACACACTCTCGCTTGCACTTAAATTCCCTCTTCCCCTTCCCTTTTTCTTTGCCTGCCACACAAGCAAGGAGTCATTATATTTAGTACTAAAACCAATCCACTACAAAATGTTTGCAACTAAATAGTTTACCTGTCCTAATCCTTCCAGTATTCTCACCAGAATTAACATCCCAGCACTATGACGTGCAGCAAGAGGAGTGAAAATTGTCAACACAGAAGTGCAAAGCACTCCAAGGCCAAATAAATATTTCCCACCAAACCGTGTTCCTAGCCAGCCACCTGGTAACTGAGTGATGACATAGCCAAAGAAAAATGAAGCCAGTATTAGACCTATAAAGAGCCAAAAACCAAGTATTGTGATCAATAAATAAAAATCTCATAGTACAATCTAGCACATCCACAAAGGGATTTTTACCCTCCATCCAATATTGCAAGAACGAAATGAAATAAAATGATAAAATTCAAACTCCCTTAGATCTGAAAATAGCAATTGTGATAACCATTCAGATTGGGCACAGACTAGAGTATCTAAACACCTAAATGGCTAACCAATGTAGCTCATGTCAGATAAGAAGAGAGATGAGGTTACAATATGGCACACAAGAAACTGCTTGTACAGTCAACAACAATAACAGCTACTAATAGTGCAATGTAGCACATCCACAAAGGGGTTCTTTACCCTCCATGGAAGGCTGCAATCTTGAGCAAAATGAAGTAACGTCATAAAATTCAACTCTCCTAGACCTGAAAATGGTAATTGTGTTAAACCATTCAGATTGGGCATAGACTAGAGTATCGCACCCCGGGGAAGGGCCCGGGGGGCCTGGGCCCCCTCCTTATTTTGAGACCAAACTGAGGGAGGCAACGCTTCTTGTATTAATTATCAGGTCAAGGCATTTACTGAATAATTCCTGTAAAGAGATTTGGTGAGCACATTACCTTGTGTCTTTTGATCCCAGTTAAACTCTCCATCCTACAGAAGAAAAATAATTACATATTAACAGGGCTTCTGATATTTCGCGCGGTCGCGAGCCGCGAAATTCAGGTCAATCCGCGAAATCTCGCGAAATTCACAAAAACACGCAAAATACCGCGAAATTCGGTAGAAATCTTATCAAATACATGTCTGTACAGCAATTTTGAAACTTGTCTCAGCTACTGGGGGTATTTACTTGCTGTAAGCTCGCAAATTTATGTCCAAATTTCCTCACGGATGCAAACAACGTTCCGAAAGTACCAGGCGTAGATCTAGGCACGGAGCGTATTGTTGTTGAAAGAGCAAATGATGACCTCTGTTAGAAAAACAGTAAAAACGCCGGTCTGATCAGCGCAAAACCGATTGATTTCAAGCGAAATTTGCCCTGAAAATAACCAGAAAATCCGCCGTTTTTTTACCGATTACTTTCCGGTCAAATTTGCCCCGAAAATTCCCGCTAAATTCCCGCGAAATCGGCTGTTTTTGCCGCGATTTCATCCCTAAAAATCACGCAAAATTTGACTTTTTTTTTCGCGACCTATCTATCACAAGCCCTGCATATACTATTTTTTCACAAAGACAAGGGTTCAAAGTCCCAGTTGATCTGAAATGTTCAATGTACCATAGTGAAATGTTCCTGCAAAAAACTGTCAAACAAATCTTCTGAACTACAAAACCATGGAATAGTGGTGATCCAGTTGGCTTCGTTTGTCAGTATCAAGCATCCAAGAAAAACACAAGTATCAGTCGGTTTGTGTATATGGCAAATTATGCATGTCTGCATAATTCTTCACATCATACTGAGCCCCATCCAATAATTGCTAATGACAATTTTAATGCCAAATTATTGGTACCCATTGTAGAGGCCCTGCCAGGGTAAATTCCGACAAGCGACATGGCCCAAAAAGTAGCGACAGCGCGTAAAATAAATTCGCGACAAGAGAAAACCTTCCACAGGCTCCAGAGGAGATTTTTTCGTCGTTAGAACATCAAAAACATCAAAACCAGTCGAAAACCTCTGAAAAAATGGGTCACTTTTTTCGTTACACACATTCTATATACCGCAAACCAAGAGACTGAGGGCTCGCAAGATCAGCTTACAGTATTAGCGAGGATATGGCTTGCGGTTATTGATTTTCAAAATCAAGAAGCAAAGAAATCAGGAAGAAATCGTTTACAATAGATTCATAAAGATCCCACTAGGCTAATTAATCGTGCTAAGCGACAGGTGTAGAAATTTTTCAAGGTGAGACTTTGAATAAGTGTCTCATTTATTGCGACAGTGACGGCAAAGCCGACGATAACATAAGCGACAAGCACATACAAACACCGACACGAGACGTTTTAAAATTCAGACGGGCGACATGGGACCCACCCCTCCCCCTCCCACTTCCTGGCAGGGCCTCTCATTGTAACTTTGTACAAAAAAATTGCTACTCTCTGTGGCCGGGAAATTCAAAAATGGAAATTAAAATGTATCATTTGGGCTTGACTCGAGGTTGGTTTAATTGTGCTTGATTCGAGGCTCGTGATTGACTCATGCATGTTGTTGGCTTGTGAAACGGCAAAAAAACGTGTGACATACACATCAATATTTTTGACATGTATACCTGTACTTCGATGTATTGTTCGTCCTAGCCAAGCTAGACTGTTCAGAGTCCCTTAGTTTTCCCATAAGATCGTCGAGATCGAGCGCTTTGCGTTACGGGCTGCCATCTTGCATGAGTGTCAAAACTACTTAGGGAGCATGGGGGCGCGGTTTGTGAGGAAGCGAGAAAAATATTTTTATTTTTATTTTTCTCGCCCCCTGCTGCAAGAGCTATAATCCCCGAAGCCTGCCCCCTCGGTACATTTGAAAATCAAGATGGCCAGAATTAATGGTAAAGCGGCCGGTAAGATGCGCTATATCACAGGCGTCGCAAGCTCGGACGTGACTCTTGCTTGCGAGCGGTGTTGTGTTACATACGATTGTATGGGATGTAAACGGCTTTTCTTAAAAGAGAAACAAATGTTATGTTTTTAAATAAAATCGACTTACCTTATTGCCTTGTTGTATTCTTTGTTGTTTGCCCACGTCTCAGGCCGTTTTGAAGCGTTTTCAGCAAGTTAGCGCTATTTTGGTGTTCCACTGCTAAGACAAAGACAAGCGGCCGGAGAGGCGAGCAAACAACAAAGAATACAACAAGGCAGTAAGAGTAGACTCCTTTCCTTCTTACCTTTTTCTCGGAATCTGTGGAAGAATTTCTTTGGCATTCCGGGTTATTTGCAGACGCCCGTTCGTTCGCGTAGGTGGAATTGACCATGGCCACCAGAGCCACGCTTAAATTCACTCGGAGAAGATACATCACACAAAAACCCGAACAGGACAAAGCTGCTAGAACGTATCGAGCGGGTATATAGCATCTTGACTGCCGGTAAGAGTTAGAGCTATTTTCTCGCAAAAGTGGTAAGGCCTCCTCCATTGCCAAAGAAATAAAACTTTAATAACTGTGTTTTCATTTGACCTTTTCTTTGCCTTTATTGGGTTTTACAGGATTTATAGAGCCTGTGTAGCAGGCGTTAAAATAAGAAGGCGATAGGGGAATTTGGATACACAAAAACGCCAGGGCCTCTAAGAGGTGGGTGTTTTTCCTCCACACGTGCCCCTCACACACTCTCGCTTGCACTTAAATTCCCCCTTCCCCTTCCCTTTTTCTTTGCCTGCCACACAAGCAAGGAGTCATTATATTTAGTACTAAAACCAATCCACTACAAAATACTTGCAACTAAATAGTTTACCTGTCCTAATCCTTCCAGTATTCTCACCAGAATTAATAACATCCCAGCACTATGACGTGCAGCAAGAGGAGTGAAAATTGTCAACACAGAAGTGCAAAGCACTCCAAGGCCAAATAAATATTTCCCACCAAACCGTGCTCCCAGCCAGCCACCTGGTAACTGAGTGATGACATAGCCAAAGAAAAATGAAGCAAGTATTAGACCTATAAAGAGCCAAAAACCAAGTATTGTGATCAATAAATAAAAATCTCATAGTACAATGTAGCACATCCACAAAGGGATTCTTTACCCTCCATTCAGTATTGCAAGAACAAAATGAAATAAAATGATAAAATTGAAACTCCCTTAGATCTGAAAACAGAAATTGTGATAACCATTCAGATTGGGCATAGACTAGAGTATCTAAACACCTAAATGGCTAACCAATGTAGCTCGTGTCAGATAAGAAGAGAGATGAGGTTACAATATGGCACACAAGAAACTGCTTGTAGAGTCAACAACAATAACAACTACTAATAGTGCAATGTAGCACATCCACAGAGGGGTTGCAAAATGAAGTAACATGATAAAATTCAAACTCTCCTAGACCTGAAAATGGTAATTGTGATAAATCATTCAGATTGGGCATAGACTAGAGTATCGCACCCCGGGGAAGGGCCCGGGGGGCCTGGGCCCCCTCCTTATTTTGAGACCAAACTGAGGGAGGCATAGCCTGAAATTCATCCGATTGCTTCGAGAAGTTTTCTCCTCTCAACAACCTCTGAATCGACCGGCCGTTAATGCCGTCCAGTGACGTCACTCACTACCCGAAAACCAGGTAGTGATTTTGATTGGTTGATTGTCTAAGCTTTGCATAATTTTGTATAATTATGAACAATTTGTCGCTTGATATTCAGCGGATCGCATCCCTGGCATTCTTTCGTTAACAAGCTTAATCTTTATCTTAAACAGCAAAATTGCCCTTGTCTTCGAAACTGAAATGCTGAATTGAACTGAAAATGAAGAATCATTGCGGAGAGTCGGTAGGTTTTTCATTTAGAGCCGCTTTGTGGTTTCGGCGGGCCGGTGATTTTGTTTACGCGAAGTTTTCTGAGATCAATGTTATAATTCGACCTTCTGGCTATTTTTACCGTCAAGTGTAATGATTCTCTTAGCTTTTCTTTCTTTGTCTCCTTGTTTTTTTTCTTCGTTAAGGACCAAATGGCGTCTTTTCAATTAAAGCAAATCATTGTGTTTTTGAACTAAGTGTTCCGAACAGGGGTCTTTTTTGCATGAGCATGCGCGACCGCTAAACAAGCGATGTGCATGGGGCGGCTCACCACAGGGTTTGCCTTCATCAAAATGGCGCGTCTCAAAGCTATCATAGCGACTATTTTGCTCGTTGGTCTTGGCGAATGTGCTCGTGATTTAACAAAATGTGTAGTTTGCAAAAAAAACTCTAACATGGTCTTAACAAAAGCGAAGTAGACAAGCTTAAACATACACGAGCTACTATCAAATTTCATCTCCCCACTTGACCTGGACAACAGCGCGCGTGTATGTAGTGCCTGGAGGATTGCGCTGACCTCATCAAAGTCTAAACAAAGTGCAGAAACAGTTTGTTGATGCAAGTAAACACTTTCAATTTTCTTTGTTTTGAAATCGGAAAGGAAGAGAAATATTAGAAAAAAAACAAAGCAAATTTCAGCGAGTGGGTTCGGAGTGCGCGAAAGCCGATGTTCAGTTCAGCAGTGAATTAATATATGTTCTACAATTTTCCCAGCACTTTAAAGCTACAAAATTAAGAGCACACGAGACGTAGATTAGTCACCTGGTGAGATGTTGGTGGTAGTCACTCTGTATGTCTCGAACAATAAAAAAAATGAATATCAATGAGACACAGTCAAAACTGCATTCAATAGGACCGAAATTAAAGTCCAATCTTGTGACCGATTTTGATGAAACATACGGTTAGGTTTCCCAAGAAGTACAGTAAACATGTGATGCCGACCAAAAGTTAAAAATCATTAGAACATTTAAGTTCTGGCTAAAAGCAAATTCCTGCAAAAGATGCGTTACAATATTAGTCCACGCAAAAACAAGAAGTTCTACAATTTTCCTATAAACAAACTTTGTATCACTAAAATACTTAAGGCAAAAACTTTCTATTCCAACTGAAAACGGCGTGGTAGTCGCCCGCTGATCGTTATTAATCCACTCCCGAAATATGGCTAAATCAGCTATTAACAAATAATTGTCAGAAATCCTCTACGGCATCGAGAAACTGATTTACATCCGATTTATAGACAAACATTAAATAAAGAACATTTTGCTCAGTAGCTACGCATCAGCAATGCATTCTATGCCAAACTTTGCGGTTCTTAAAGGGGAATCAAGACACGAGTCGAGCGCCAAACAACAACAAGCAGCCATGTTCGTGTCAGACATCCTTGAGAAACTTGCTCTTTCACCT